CTGAGGTGCTTTCCATCCCTGCCCAAAAAGCTCCTCTTCCTTGTTTCTTCTGCTACTTGGCTACTTGAGTTTAGAAAGGTAGGCAGTGAAATTAGAAGAACTAAAATGCCGGAAATGCAACATTGCAGATTTCTTTCCTTCTATCAGGCTGTCAAAATATTTGTAGAGCAGTGCTGATTTGTGGAGTAGTGTTAAGCGAGGGGGGCGACTCTATCTAAGATGCAGGAATTGTTTTGCTTTGCTGTTATGAGATGCACTCGCGCTTAATAGATAGAAACACCACGATTAATTATGATTTTGAAGATTTCCTGCAAAAAGGTGGAGAGCGATCCGAGTAGATGGGCTTAGATGCAAGAGATGAAAAAAGATTTTTCGTAGATTGATTCGCTAGTGTGAGATTTTTCAACCATTTAAAATCGAGATTTAGATGTGTTGTACCCCTCGGTGTTAAGCTTAAATGAGTCTTGTTCAATCTTTAGATCAGCTTACTTATTGAGGCTCAATTATGGGGGTACAATTAGATTCATGCACTACGAATTAACTATAAATTCAGCCTGCTGTTAATAAGCTTTGTACAACTTAAATCAACCAATAATCAGTCTTACTGTTCAGCTTAAATTGTTACTTGGAGAGAACCATCCCGTAGTCCACAGCGTCCATATTCCGATCACAACCTCGGATCCATTCTGGTAATCCGCTTATGAGTTTCAAGAATTGATTTTTTTCACGGATGTTTCGGTGAACCATCCCGTGATACCCAGGGTTCATAATCTGGTCACAATTCCAAATTAATTCCTTTTACGGATGTTCCGGATCTTTCAGTCGACCATTATGTGGTCCCCAGGGTTCAGATTCCGATCACAACCCCGAATTCATTCTGGTAAAACGTTAATGAGTAATTCTGAAAAAAAAAACACGGAGCTCTAGTATCAGTTTCATGAATTGACCACCTTTAGAGATGTTCCGAGTCTTCCGGAGGACCAGACTTGGGACCTTCCGGGTGCTATTTTTTCAAAAGGAGGTCATCTATCTTGTTAATAGCTTTTCTAAAGGCACCAGGAAGTTATCTCTTCAAATTACCCTACAATAAGTGTTTGTCCCCAAGTAGATCTAATATCATATGCTATGCGTATTCGTTAAAAGCATTCTGAACCAGGGCCCCACAAAGTCACATTCAATCGAAAATCGTCAAGCGACGATGAAGCTGTCAACCATCACTTTCAATTGAAAGTCATTATGTCTTCTCTTCGTGCAGATCCCCCGTCAACATCAACAGAATCACTTTCGATCAGTTTTAATGCTGTTTGTTTTGGCTTGAGTCGTGTTCATTTCTTCTTTTATTGTCAAATGAACTTACTTTTGCATTGAAGCAAAGCCATTCGATCCAAATCCGTGCAGTTGTTATGACTTTTGTTGCTCGTTTACTCGGTTCATTTAAGCGTATGCGCATAGATCTGTGCACGTGGATGTCAAATTTATCATTGTCGGGTGGTTTGTTTACCCATCAATATGGGTATTTTTTTAATCGGGGTGACGTCTAGAGATCGAAAATTGATATGCGACGCTATTTTGAAATCCAGTATGGCGGCTTCCAGTTTAAGAAAAGTGGGAAATACTGTCCAATACTTATCAATAAATGTATTTTTGGAATCGGGATGATGTCTAGAGGATGAAAATCAATATCCGACGCCATTTTGAAATCGAAGATGGCGGCTTCCGATACACGAAAAAGTGGAAATACAGTCAAATACACATCAATATTGGTTTTTTTTTTGTATTCGGTATGAAGTCTACAGATCGAAAATTGATATGCGACGAAATTTCGAAATCCATGATGGCGGCTTCCGATTTCAGATTAAGTAAATACTGTCAAATACCCATCAGTATAGATATTTTTGGAATCGGGATGACATCTAGAGGCCAGAAATCGATATCCGACGCCATTTTGAAATCCAATATGACGGCTTCCTATTGAAGAAAAAAAAAATTGTGGGTATTTTTGGAATCGGGGTGACGTCTGGAGATTGGAAATCAATATTCGATGCCATTTTGAAATCCATGATGGTGGCTTCCGGTTTGTGAAAAAGTTGTAAATTCTATCAAATACCCATACAAACGGTTTTTTTTTAATGTGAGTGACGTCTAGAAGCCGGAAATCGATATCCGATGCCATTTTGTAATCCAAAACGGCAGCTTCCGATTTGTGGAAAAGTGTCAAATATCCTAAAATATGGTTATTTTCAGAATGGAGATGAGACGTCGATGCCGAAAATTGATGTCACGCCGTCTAAGATGGCGGTTTTGATTCAGAAAAACTGTAAAATACTGTCCAATACCGTTCAATATGGATTTTTTGGAATATTCAAATTCAAGATGGTGGCTTCCGATTTCAGAAGAAGTGTCAAATAGCTTACAATGGCATCGAATATCGATTTTCAGCACCTACGCGTCGTCTCCAGTCGAATGAGCCCCGAATTGAAGTGAAAGTGGCAAAAAACGAAGGAAGCAGTTTTTGAGTCATTCATTGCGTCAATTGAAACAAGTCTTTGCTTCAAATGAAATGAACTGAAGCACTTGACGAACGAAACAAATGATAGTCCAGTCATGTTTGAAAAGAGAAATGTGTATGTGACTCGATAACAAGAAACACGATGACTGACACAAAAATGATATTGCTCGAAATGAAGCGATTCTCGGAGAGTTCATTTTCTTTTCTTTTTTTCGAAAATGCAGAACCCTGTTCTGAACAATGAAACGGTGTGAAATCTGTTAAATTTGTTAAACTTCTATCGCCTGCGCCAGTTTTGACTTCAATATATTGACGTTAAGCAACTCAAACTATGTTAATTGTTAGCTTCACGCATGAAGTAATACAAAAACAAATTTAAATTTTTGCAAGGCATCTGCAGTTGTGGAAAAACACAAAGTTTGACTCACTGGAGCGACTATGACTGGACAACTGTGCAGGGAGGAATGTCGCCAGAAGAGAATTTTGGCATTCATTAAGCTACACGAAGGTCCCGTAAAGTTCTGGCCTGACTTAGCCAGCTGCCATGTAAGTGTCAGCCACCTCAGTCAGGAGCACTTTCGAGACTCCCTGACTCCAATGGCCTCAGGGTCGGCACGCTTACCGATTGCAATTACGCGGGCAGGGAATGATCGCACGTGACACACAGAAAAAAATTCCACAAGCACTTCACTACTCAAGAATAGACATTTATTGCACTTTCCTGAACTTTTATTCTCCCTCTTTACTACCTTATTCTCCCACTTTCTTACAATCTATCTGACCTGGTTTCTTCGTCGGGGCCCCTCGCAATACCTCCTTTATGTGTCTTCGATTGTCGACCGCTTGTCCTCGGTCGACGTCCGCTTCCTCTCCACTTTCTCGTCGTGTATCTCGTTCGCGCGCTTGCTGTACGGGGTGGCGATGACGAGCACCAGGTTACACTTCCTGGGCCTATGAGTTGGTGACGAACTCGGCCGGCAGGCAATGACGGTGTAACCTTCCGGTACGTCTACCGGAACTTCACTGCGTACAGGTGATCTGTACTAAATACAGCGGGGTCCTGCTGTCCTTGACTCTCTCCTCACACTTTTTCACTGTTTCCACTCTTACTTGCGTCAATTTAGCTGGCTTGCTTTCTTGATAAACCGTTTTCGCTGGTGGTCTTACGATCAGTGATTATTAATTTCAGAGTTGAGTGAGTCATTGGGTCACTGCTCCAGGCTGTCGGCCAGTGACCCGGGCCATTCGTCGTTCATCGCCAGTTTGTCGTGCCCGTTATCGTCCATTCAAAATGGCCATCTCTATCGCCACCCCCCATGGCCTCCCAACAGGCAGTTGTTTGTCCATCTGGTGGCGGGTTTTTGCAATTCTCGGTGGGGTGGATTGTTGCGTTCTACAGTAAGCTGTCCTACCTCTGCCTACTAGGGAGTTTTACAACGGAGAAAACTGCACAACACTCACGAACATTACCTGCCATTATTTTTTTTACACTTTAACGGAACTAAACAAAAAACCACGATAATCTAAAAAATACTCGAAACAAAGACACTAGCACTTGCAGCCATTACAGCAGGGATGTCATTGTAGAATAATGTCGATTTTATTGAAAAAGTATCAATCTACTAAATTGTCCAGATTTTCGTCTCATCGGAATATTATGGGCAATTATCAAGCGAAAATTTAAGAAATGTGGCAAAACTCTCAAATCACCATCTGATTTGGAGAAGTGGTGGGAAAAGCTGGCAGATAAGGTTGACAGTACTACCTGCCGGTTTTAAGTTGGCTCACTACTTGACTAGCCTATTGGTCCCAAGCAAATCGATTAACGTACCCCATTCTAGTCTATGAAAGTTTGACAGATAAAATGAGTGGTTCGTGGACTTTCCTACGTTTCGAGAGGTGCATCGATTATCTTGGACCGAAGATAGTACCAGAGCTGAGCCAAAAAGTTGAGCACGTTTCTTCGGGACCTTCTGGTCTTAGAGTTACCTCTAAGGGTAACCTAGAAAACCTGCAAAATGATACCCTTATCGTTTTTTCCTCTTGGAGAAATGACCCATTTTGTGCGATCAAATTCTAACTGGAACAGACTTTAGGTGGTCAAGATTACGAGATATTCCATGTTGGAACCAATTAAGCCGTATCTTATATGCTACGTGGACTCCATTTAGTGCTTTTGGGGGAATTTCTGTTTTTTGTTAAAATTCAAGCGTAACTATTCAAATAGACGTATTTGCTTTCATAATCACTTCAATCAACGATTTGTCTTAACACAAACAAACACCATCATCAGGTAGGGGAATCTTTCCCCTACTTGCTGGTGTTGTTGGTTTCTGTGAGTGAGCTAGCAGTTGCCACAAATCGTCGATTGAATTGACTGTTTACAAAATCAGATACGTCGATTTGAATAGTTTCGTTTGAATTCATCTACCATTGCTTCAAAGCTCAAATTACAACACCGCATTAACGCTCTCATCTCCAATTCTTCCAGACGGCGAACAACCCTCGGAGCTGCACCAGGTGGATATTCCCACCATCCCGCACAGCGACTGCAACCGGATGATGGCATTTCCGCGCACCCGGCGGCTCAAGTACGGGGTCCTTCCGTCGCAGCTGTGCGCCGGCGAAATGACGGGCGGCAAGGACACCTGCGAGGGCGATTCCGGCGGTCCGCTGCATGTGCCCTCGGAGGATCCCAGCGGGTGCACCTTCGACGTGGTGGGCATCACCTCGATCGGAGGAATCTGCGGCACGGCTCGGAAGCCCGGTCTCTACACCCGGGTGTCGTACTACCGCGAGTGGATCGAATCTGTTATGGGGAGAGAACAATAAAGACTGCCAAACTTTTTTTTTTTTATATATGCACTGCTATTTATTTCTTGAACTGGATGTGTTTTCTTTCGTGGGTCGGTAGGATAAGCAAACGAATGTCTTGTTTTTTTTTAATAGAATTTACATTACATATATTTCTTGTTTTCAGCTTTTTTGTTTTACTTTTTTTTTACACATAATGAGTTAAAATATACATCAGTTTTCTTTAATCTGCAGCAATCAGAAATCGTTTCCGTTTGTCCATTAGCCACTTGCTTTGAGTGCGGTTTGACAGTTTTCTCACTCAATCGCCATCTTGCTTTTCTGATTATACACCTCGGTTTTTTTGCTATCTACAGTACAGTGGTAATTGCATTCCAGGTTTCAACTTGTTTCTCTGCTTTGCCTTGTTTGCTTTTGATTTGACTTTCCGTCAGGATTCATCTTAAATGTCTTTTTTTTTTAATGGTATTTTAAAAATAGTACTGGCACTGGAGTACATTCTTCGCTCTGCACTTGTATGATTTTTTTGTTTGTTTATGTTTGTGTTTCAATTTTTTCAACTTGAGTTTCGTGGTGCAAACGGTCAACATGTCAATTTTTATTACTGATTACTTGTTTTTTTTTGTCAATTGGAAATCACAGAATTTTCATTTTTAACAATAGAGTTTTTACAGAATTTTCATTTCTGTCTGCTGTTCAGCGTTCGTATCGAGGGATCGGCGTGTTTTTTTTTGTGTGTGTGCGAGAAGCTTTGCATGCAACCGATGAACAAGCAGAATCAAAATATTCGACATTCATTTTTAGGTAGGACGAGGCTTGCATGGGGGAGCGAGAAGTAGGCGCTGCTTTTTTTTCGTAATTTGATTTTTGTTTTGTTTGTGCTGGCAACAATAAAAAGCCACGTTGCGAGTTTCGATGTGTGATTATGAACTTTGTTTCGGTTTGTTTTTGTTTCGATTCCGATGGAACGAATTTTAAAAGAAAGCTGTAATAATTAATCCATACCGGAAACAATAATGGAAACCGCAGGCGAAGATGTGAGTAAGCAGTGATTGATTTGAATACTACCTCGGGGACTGAGAATTTCTTAATTGACGAACCTTGATTTATTGAATGGTACATGATCGTTCAAAACTTGGCCGAAATTTAGTGATGGAGTTTTTTGAAGATGAGTAATAAACGTATTTCACTTACAGGGCTTGCAGAACCATTAGCGCGGTTGGATAAGTTACCAATCCAACATTTTACGCTACCGTTCTTTAACATTTGAGGCTTTGTTCCATTTGGTGAATTTTCTCTTAAATTTGACACGAAAATAAATTAAAATGTTCGAAAATCCCTCTGTTATTGATCGTCCGATTTTCGAGAAGGTGTTTGTCAAAGTTGATTCCTGGTCTGCCAGAAATAAGTCTAGTACAAAAGCAGGTTTATTTGAAAATTTTCCATCTGTCAAATTTAATTGGAACACAGCCTGAATGACCTCTATTTGTTTGACATTAGACGTTTAAGGTGATTCCAAGGTAGAGTCCACAAATGGCCGCCACGTAGGCTATACGTGCTCTTCCACTTCGAATTTTCATTAACACAAATCTCGGCAATTAATGCCCCATTTCATATGAAATTGTTACTTCATGTATGCTGTAGTACAGCAAACGTGGAGTAACAGTTGCATTGTAGAAGCTGTTATTTGAGCACTTCAAGTTTCGAAGTGGAAGCGAGAATAAGGATCTCACAGCGAAACACCTGAACCATCATAGTAATCTAATAGCGAATTCGTTTATTATTATTCAGTTTCAACCTGGATCGGGTATCAAGATTGGGTCTGACAAATGTCAGTTTGATCGTTTGTTTTTAAAGTCTAGTTCAGGTTGAGGTTTACACTGACAAAAAGTTCAATTTCGCACTTGGTTGGAACTGGTTCCAGCCCAATATAAACGAATTCGCTATAAGAGGAAGAGGAGACAATAGGGGGACTTTTATGAACCAGCGTCTGATTGCACGGATAGAAATCTCCTTAAACCTTTTGGCAAATTTATATTGCTGATTATTCATAAAACGTATAAGCCTCTTAGATAGCAATCTGTTGACTAGTGTAACTTAAGAATTTGCTCAGCCGTGTTTTTACCCTATATTTGCTACTCTTAAATAAACGTGCATCATTCAGTCCTATCAAACGAACAAAAACAAACGCGTGTTTTTCTTTTCGCTCTGCAAATTCCCATAGGTTATGGGCCCCAGCAAGCGGAAAAATTTATTGCGCAGTTACGTTTTTGTTATAAGTTTTTCGCGAGTTTCGAATTCGAGTTTTGTCCGCGAGTTCCAAGTTTTGGAATGTCGACAGGCGGAGGAAACGGCGGTGGCAACGGTGGAGGCACATCCGGGAGCCAGGTAGAAGGAAGAACAGGTGCAGTAGGAGGCAGTATTTCGCTGCCAGCAGTGGACAGGTTGCGTGGCTCGACGTGGGCGTTTGTCACCAAGATGCTGATGATCCGGGAAGGCACATGGGACGCAGTTACACGGCAAGAGCAGGATCCGGAGGACGCAGTTTCATTGCGAGGATTGGCGACGATATGCCTCAGCATAGAACCAATTAATTACAGCCTGGTGCAGAGTGCCAAAACGGCGAAGCAAGCATGGAAGAACCTACAGGATGCTTTTCGGGATGACGGAATGACGCGACGAATAGGATTGCTGCGGAAGTTGACAGGTTTTCGATTGACGGAGTGCTCGTCGGTGGAGGAATATGTGAATGAGCTCATGACGACCAGCCACAAGTTGACGGAGGTTGGTTTTGCGGTCGATGATACTTGGCTGGCGTGTCTGCTGTTGATGGGCTTGCCAGAGTCATACGAGCCGATGATTATGGGCTTGGAAGCATCGGGAACGCGTATTACAGCGGATGCAGTGAAAGCGAAAATCCTCCAGGACGTGAAAATCGGCGGCAGCAAGGAAGAGGCTTTCTACAGCAAGAAAAAGGCGGCTGGTAGCAAGAAGAAGACTGACAAATCGAAAATCCAGTGCTACAGGTGCAAGCAATTTGGTCACTTTGCTTCGGAGTGTCAGCAGAAAGGACCGAATGAACCGAAGGACAAGAAGGAGAAATCCGGTAAAAGGAACGCAGCGATGACCACCTTTGAGAACCCGAGGAAAAGTGAATCGGACTGGTTCTTTGATTCAGGAGCTACATCGCACATGTGCAGTAGTAAGGCGTTTTTGCTGAACGTGCAGGAAACGTCACAGCGCGTGAGTGTAGCCAACGACGCTGAACTGTCCGTAGTTGCTACCGGGAGTGTGGAGCTAGAGGCAGACATTGGAGAAGAGTCCTGCGACTTGACGATGTCCGATGTATTGTGCGTTCCGGATATAGCGATCAACCTTCTTTCGGTCAGCAGGATGTGCAGTAAGGGCTACAGCGTTCAGTTCACGAAGGAAACGTGCGAGGTGCGGTCCAATAGCGGCAAGTTGGTTGCCGTTGGTCAGGAGACAAGTGGTCTGTACAAGCTGTGTTTGACCAACAAGCAAATGTCGTGCGCTGCGAAGTCGAAGGATGACATCATACTGTGGCATCGGAGAATGGGGCATCTAAACGAGCAGAGTTTGATGAAGCTCCGAAGGTTGGCCGATGGGATTGATTTCGGTAACGCCAAGATTCCTGCTTGTGTCACCTGCTTGGAAGGGAAACACTTTCGACAGCCGTTCAACAACGAGGGCACTCGTGCGACCGAGGTGCTGGAGCTGGTCCACTCGGACCTGTGCGGTCCGATGGAGGAGGAATCAATCGGCGGAAGTAAATATTTCCTGTCGTTCATCGACGATGCGAGTCGCAAGTTGGTCGTGTATTTTCTCCAGTCGAAAACAGAGGTACTCGAATGCTTCAAAGAGTACAAAGCATTGATGGAGAATCAGACCGGAAAAAGGATCAAAGGACTTCGAACCGATAATGGCACCGAATATGTGAACACCGGCATGAAACGGTTCCTGCGCAGCTGCGGTATTCGTCACGAAATGACAGTACCGTATAATCCGGAGCATAATGGGCTAGCGGAGCGCATGAACAGGACCGTTGTGGAGAAAGCTCGTTGCTGATGGGCATGGCAGCGCAGTTAGACTTGCAGATTCATCAGATGGATGCAGTCACTGCCTTTTTGCAAGGGGAACTGTCCGATGAAGAGATATTCATGGAGCAACCTGAGGGGTTTGTTCAGAAGGATCCAAGAAAGGTTTGTCGATTAAAAAAGGCTCTGTACGGCCTTAAACAAGCCAGCCGTGTCTGGAACGTGAAGTTGGACACGGATCTGAAGAGAATTGGCTTCAGACGATCCAGTTATGACCCTTGCGTGTATTTGATGTCGGATGGGAAGCGAATCATCATAGTTGCAGTTTACGTGGACGATTTGCTATTGTTCTCGAATGCTCCGGAGTGGATCGATGCAGTTAAAGGTCAACTGTCAGCAAGGTTCCGCATGAAGGATTTGGGCGAGGCCCGCCAAGTGCTTGGAATGCGGATCACCAGGAACGGTGGCACTATCGTGCTGGATCAACAGCGATACATCGAGGAGCTGCTTCAGAAATACAACATGGTGGACTGTAATCCGACATCGACACCGGCCGAAGTGAGCCAGAGGCTCGTAAAAGCAATGAGTCCGAAAACCGAACAGGAGAAAGCAAGGATGCAGAATGTTCCGTACCGTGAGCTAGTGGGTGGACTACTGTTCTTGTCTCAATGCACTCGTCCCGACATAGCGTATGCCGTGAATTCAGTTAGCAGTTTTTGCAGTAATCCGGGTGAAGCCCATTGGACAGCGGCCAAGCGCATTCTACGGTACCTTCAGGGTACCAAATCGTTCAGATTGGTCTTCCAGAAGATGGCGAACCCAGTGCTCGAGGGGTTTAGCGATGCGGACTGGGGAAACGATCCTGACTCGAGGCGCTCGGTCACAGGATATTTGTTCCAGTTTGGAGGCGGATCGGTGTCTTGGAGCAGCCGGAAACAGCCGACTGTTGCGCTTTCTACGACGGAAGCCGAATACATGGCCTTGTCGGCGGCATCACAATAGGCTCTATGGTGGCGTGGCTTCTGTGCGGAGTTGTTGGG